GCTGCAGAGAGGGGTTTCTGTGCTGCAGCAAAATGCTGAGGGTGGGCAGCGGCGTGCCCCTGCTGCTAACCCGCTCCTGGGCCAGGGCCTGGGTGCAATGGGCACGGGGTGCCCTGCTCTGCAGCAATGCTCCAGTCAGGTGCTGGTGCTGGGTCAGCCTCTGCGCTCAGCACTCCGCTGCAGCCACAGCACCAGGAGCTGCTGCTGCGGTCAACAGCGTCCTGGGTACTCAGGGTAATGGTCCCCAGTGACAGGGCCACAGGGTTGTTACTCCTGGTTATGCTGGGCTACAGCAGAGGGATGGTCTTTGTCCAAAACCACTCCAAGGAGTGGATAACGTTTGCATGGGGTCTGAGTAGAGTTGTCCCCTTCATCCACGAGCACTAACTGTGCAGCCTTGTGGCAGATGAGACCAGCCCTTGGAGCCTGGTGCCCCTGCCTTCCCTTCCCACGGGGTGCAGCCAGGCACCGGCAGAGCCGTGGGCCAGATGAGGAGTGTCACAGTTCTGCTGGGCCATGGCCTGCTGCCTGTGCTCGCAGCACTCCTGCTGGGAGATGCAAGCGGCTGCCACTGCCAGCTACGCATCGTAGCACGAGAGGGCGGCAGTGAGGTCTGCTGAAGCTCCTGTGGACAGGAAAGGGGGTGCAGGCCATGGCAGGATGCTGCTGGTGGACATAAGGGCAGCAGGGATGCAGGAGTGGCGGGGTGCAGGAACGTGATTCTTGTAGGGGTTGAGGGCAGGGGACCTGTCTTTGGCCCAGGGCATTTCTTCCATTGATTCCCAGTGTGAGCACTGAATCATCCCTAGTCTTGTGCGTTCCCTGCTCCCCCTCCCTTCCCTGTTGGGTGGGACTAGACCAGGCTCAAGGCAGGGTGCTAGGCACAGCACACTTGGACCCAGCTGCATCATTGCTCTCTGCATGCTTGCTGCTGTGCTGGCAGTGCAGCACTTGGGGGAAGGTGCTGCACGCATGCTCCCCAGCTGCCAGGCACTGCCTGAGCCAGGGAGGAGGCTGCCAAGCAGGGGCTGTTGGTCCTCTGGCCTCTGCTGTACATGCATGGCTGTGTCTGTCTGTCCTTCTTCTCCCTCCTCTCTCCACTGTGTTAGTGGGCTCTCTGTGGGTGCATGACAGTCAAGAGGCTTGTGCTTGTGGACACATGTTCATGCAGACTGTGTCCCCACATCTACTGCCTGCCCCACTCCCCAGACAGTCCCTGGGTCTACCTGTCTCTGGGGCAGTGCTCCTGCTGCTTTGCTCATGCTGTATTCTGTAGCATGCGAAAGTGGCCCAGGGTGTGCATTAGGAATGTATGGGGTTTACCCACTGCTGTGAGAGTGAGGTGCAGTCGGTCACCCTAGTTGAGGCTGGGGGCTCAAGGCTGGCCTCCTCTATCGCAGAGCCTACAAGCAGCCCTCCCAGCTCCTTCCCAGTGCCACATTGCCTTTGGTGCAGCTCAGGTCCCGCTTGTTGCTGCTCTCTGCAGCTGGGACAGCACTACCAATACCATCTATGCCATTGCTGCCGGTTCCAGGCAGGGCACTTACTGGTGCCCTGTCCCTGTCTCTCTGACACCCCCCTAAAACTTGTCTTGTGGTAGCTGGGCAGGATGGGTGCGTGTGGGACAAGCATAGGGTGCAGAAGGGGCTGGGACTGCCACGTACCTGGCTGCCCCCACCCTTTCTCCTGGCTGTACCACCATGAATGCCTGGTAACCCCATCTCTGTCTGTGTCTCTCCAGGATCTCACCTCAACACCAAACCACTGAACTCCACACACGTTCTGACACATACCTGAGAAGAGAAGAGAGGAAAGCAGAGAGTGGAGGGGAGCAGGGCTGGCTGTACATGTTTCTATAGGTTAATGGCATGATTTCTGTATGAGACATACTTACCGTCCTATCCGCATGACTGACTGACTGCAAGACGCATGAGCTACAGTACTTAAAACTGACGGAGGGGCCTCCGTCCCTGCCCCGCTGCTGCCAGGAGCCCAGAGACAGCAGCACGCACCAGGGGCATCCTCTCAGTTCCTCTGGGAGGCAAGAGTAGGACTGGCAGTGGGAAGGAGACTCCACCCTTGCGCGTTCGCGTGTGTAAATGCATCCCTGCACCCGTGCTCCAGCTGCAAGAGGGAAGCTGGGGCAGCACGGCACTGCTCACCATGGAAGGAGAGCGGCTCGACCCCCCCATCGCCCGTGCTGCCTCTGCTGGACTCGCTTCTCATCCCTCTCAGTGAGTGTTGGTTTATGGGGCGGGCAGCAGTTGCCAGGGGGTGTGTGAGATGAGGGTTGCAGGGAGCACAACTGCCCTGGGTAGAGGGGCTGGTGCAGGGCTGCCCTTCCTCTCCCCAGCACGTGCAACGTCTCCCACCAGGGCAGGGCTCTGGGCTGAGCACTGAGCTCATTGCTTGTGTTGAAAGTGTAAACTGTACAGCAATCAGCCTTGTGTATATGAACCAATAAATACTATGCAAACCCCTAGGGACACTCTAGCAGTATGTACAAAGCACTAACAGCTCCACTCCCAAATACCTCTTCAGGCTGTCAGACAGGCAAAACCTTTGGAGTACGTGAGCAGCTCCGGTGAATGGAGCTGGGAAGCTATAGGAGTAAAAGAGCAGCAGACTGCCCCTGCCCTGTGCCCCTCCAGCTGAGCCTGGTCCCTTCCTGGCCTGAAGAGAGGGGCCCACAGGTGCAGTCCCATGGGCCTGTCCATGGTGCAAGCCCCAGTTTGTGTTGGCTCCAGCTGGGGTGAAGCTGTAGGCCTGCGCTGAGGTGCTTGAGGCCCAGGGACAATGTAATGAGACAGGGGATGCTTGTGCCACACGTGGGGTTGTGCCTAGTTCTACTCAGCACAATATCTGCTCAGGAGATGAGCCAACAGCTGGCAGGAGCCAGCAGCCCTGCACTACGCATGCCATGCAAGGGCTTTGCAGGGTCCCCTGGCCTCCCTGCGAGGGCACAAATGAGCATAGCCCATAGACCCCGTGGATGCTGACCCTCCCAGGACCAACCCCAGAGACATGGGGGGCTGCTCCCCCAGTGGCTGCACTTTGGCCAGGTGAAATGCCCTGCTGTAGCAGCCTGGACCAAGCAGTCACCCTGGGAGCTAGGGCAGCCCCGGGGCCAGCTGCCCTAGCAGGAGAGCAGTCATGGGCAGAGCTGCCCAGGCAACTCTGAGGTGTGTGGTAGGTTGAATCTGCTACAGTACTTGACCCCAGGAGGGCCAGATGCAGGTAGTGGCAGTAGGTCCCATGTCCCCGACTCTGTCCTTTAACTAACCAACATGGGGGCTTGGTCTTTGTAGCACAGTGGTGTGGGGAGCCCCTGCTCTTTCTCCTGGAGGTGGCCATGGACCTGTTTTGCAGGGCCTGAGTTTGCTTTCTGTGGCCACGTGCAGAACGAGCCCACCTGCAGCTTCAGGCTGGTGGCCCTGGCAGGGCAGCCCTGTCTCGCAGTGGGTACGCATCTGCCGGGAAAGCCCCTGACTCCCCTGCAGTTGGAAGAAGCCTAGCTGCAGCGAAGCAAATGACCCAGCTTAGCCTTGGAGAGCAAAGCAACCCCTTCCCCACCCCACCCCAAAGCCATATAGTCACAGACTCTCCATCCATCACCCTTGCTGTGTACAATAACCTCCCTAGACCCACTGCGACAGCTGACTCCGTAGCATCACTGTAGAGTTGTGTGTGGGTCCTGTGCTTTGGCCTTGTATACACCTTAGGGAATGTGCTGTGCTGCAACCGTGCCAGGCACCTGCAGTGACATTGCTTTGCGCTCAGATTGCTCGTAGGGCTGGTAGGGGGAGGCTGCACCCAACATTGAGCCTAGAGAATGCTGCAGTCTGCACACTAGAAGCTTTTTAGAAGTTTTAAAAAATTACTTTTATTTCCTTTTTTTAATTGTTATGGAAACAAGCCTTTTGGATCTCCCTGTCTTAGCCCCTGATGTATAGATCATTTCCCTGTACACCAGCTATCAGACTATAAGTTAATAAAGAAACCAACACTGACCGTGTCTCGTCTCTGCTTTTCCATGGGTGCAGGGAAGACTGAGACTCCAGGGTGCATGGCCAGGTGGGGTTCCCCTCTGCCCCTACCCGGTTGCCAGGAGGGCAGGGGGCAGTCGTGGGGGCTGGCAGCTGTTTGTGCTCAGCCGTTCATGGGGGAGGCCAAAAGGTGCAGAAACGTGCGCGCCCCCGAGCAGGTCTCGGGGCTGATCCGACAGCAGCTTCTCCCTGGACGGGCGGGGAAGTGGCTGCCCGGCCGGTGCCACCGGATGCGTGGGGCATCAGCGGGGGGGTCTCCCAGCCGCACCGGGGGCAGCGGCGCTGCTGTGCCCTACCGGCGGGGCC